CTCCTGAATACAGCAGACTGATGGATCTTGACTCTTTATCCAGTTTGCCAGTCTGTGTCTTTTAATTGGAGCATTTAGTCCATTTACATTTAAGGTTAATATTGTTATGTGTGAACTTGATCCTGCCGTCATGATATTAACTGGTAATTTTGCTCGTTAGTTGATGCAGTTTCTTCCTAGCCCCGATGGTCTTTACATTTTGACATGTTTTTGCAATGGCTGGTACTGGTTGTTCCTTTCCATGTTTAATGCTTCCTTGAGGGTCTCTTGTAAGGCAGGCCTGGTGGTGACAAAATCTCTAAGCATTTGCTTATCTGTAAAGCATTTTATTTCTCCTTCACTTATGAAGCTTATTTTGGCTGGATATGAAATTCTGGGTTGAAAATTCTTTTCTTAAAGAATGTTGAATATTGGCCCCCTCTCTCTTCTGGCTTGTAGAGTTTCTGCCGAGAGATCTTCTGTTAGTCTGATGGGCATCCCTTTGTGTGTAACCCGACCTTTCTCTCTGGCTGCCCTTAAGATTTTTTCCTTCATTTCAACTTTGGTGAATCTGGCAATTATGTGTCTTGGAGTTGCTCTTCTCGAGGAGTATCTTTGTGGCGTTCTCTGTATTTCCTGGATTTGAATGTTGGCCTGCCCTACTAGGTTGGGGAAGTTCTCCTGGATGATATCCTGAAGAGTGTTTTCCAACTTGGTTCCATTTTCCCCCTCACTTTCAGGCACCCCAATCAGACGTAGATTTGGTCTTTTTACATAATCCCATACTTCTTGCAGGCTTTGTTCATTTCTTTTTCTTTTTTCTCTTGGTTTCTCTTCTCGCTTCATTTCGTTCATTTGATCCTCAATCGCTGATACTCTTTCTTCCAGTTGATCGCGTCAGTTACTGAAGCTTGTGTATTTGTCACGTATTTCTCGTGTCATGGTTTTCATCTCTGTCATTTCGTTTATGACCTTCTCTGCATTAAGTACTCTAGCTATCAATTCTTCCACTCTTTTTTCAAAATTTTTAGTTTCTTTGCGCTGGGTACGTAATTCCTCCTTTAGCTCTGAGAAGTTTGATGGACTGAAGCCTTCTTCTCTCATCTCGTCAAAGTCATTCTCCGTCAAGCTTTGATCCGTTGCTAGCGATGAGCTGCACTCCTTTGCACTTTAGCTCTGAGAAGTTTGATGGACTGAAGCTTTCTTCTCTCATCTCGTCAAAGTCATTCTCCGTCAAGCTTTGATCCGTTGCTAGCGATGAGCTGCACTCCTTTGCCGAGGGAGATGCGCTCTTATTTTTTGAATTTCCAGCTTTTCTACCCTGCTTTTTCCCATCTCTTTTGGTTTTATCTGCCTCTGGTCTTTGATGATGGTGACGTACTGATGGGGTTTTGGTGTAGGTGTCCTTCCTGTTTGATAGTTTTCCTTCTAACAGTCAGGACCCTCAGCTGTAGGTCTGTTGGAGATTGCTTGAGGTCCACTCCAGACCCTGTTTGCCTGGGTGTCAGCAGCAGAGGCTGCAGAAGATAGAATATTGCTGAACAGCAAGTGTACCTGTCTGATTCTTGCTTTGCAGGCTTCCTCTCAGGGGTGTACTCCACCCTGTGAGGTGTGGGGTGTCAGACTGCCCCTAGTGGGGGATGTCTCCCAGTTAGGCTACTCAGGGGTCAGGGACCCACTTGAGCAGGCAGTCTGTCCCTTCTCAGATCTCAACCTCCGTGTTGGGAGATCTACTGCTCTCTTCAAAGCTGTCAGACAGAGTCGTTTGCGTCTGCAGAGGTTTCTGCTGCTTTTTGTTGTTGTTGTTGTTTAGCTGTGCCCTATCTCCAGAGGTGGAGTCTATAGAGACAGGCAGGTTTCCCTGAGTTGCTGTGAGCTCCACCCAGTTCGAGCTTCCCAGAGGCTTTGTTTACCTACTTAAGCCTCAGCAATGGTGGGCGTCCCTCCCCCAGCCTTGCTGCTGCCTTGCGGTTAGATCGCAGACTGCTGTGCTAGCAATGAGGGAGGCTCCGTGGGCGTGGGACCCTCCCGGCCATGTGTGGCATATAATCTCCTGGTGTGCCCGTTTACTTAAAGCGAAGTATTGGGGTGGGAGTTACCCGATTTTCCAGGTGTTTTGTATCTCAGTCCCCTGGCTAAGAAAAGGGATTCCCTTCCCCCTTGGGCTTCTCAGGTGAGGCGATGCCTCGCCCTGCTTCAGCTCTTGCTGGTCGGGCTGCAGCAGCTGACCAGCAGCGGTTGTCCGGCACTCCCTAGTGAGATGAACCCAGTACCTCAGTTGAAACTGCAGAAATCACCGGTCTTCAATTTCGCTCGCGCTGGAAATTGGAGACTGGAGCTGTTTCTATTCGGCCATCTTGCTCCGCGGAGATTTATTCCTGAGGTTCGTTGTCTCACACCAAGGAAATCCAGGGCTCAGACACACCAGAAATGAGGTTAAGAGTGGAGGTTTGATGGGCAAAAAAAAGAGAAAATTTTCTCTTGAAGAGCGAGGAATCCCAGAGAAAATGGGTAACCAGTTCCCTGGTGAAATGCCACTTATTGTAATCTTACACAGGTAGTAAGCAAACCTACTCTTTGCTTATAGATGTAATAGCATTTTTATTTTTTTCTAAGGCTGCTTGGTATACAGGAATCCTTGAAAAAATAGTATGGAACAAAAGTGCTCTGTATCTCTGCGCCTAAAATAGCAGAAACACCATACTGACTTCTGTTCAATTTTCCTTTGATTATATAACTTCATTGGCAATGGTATTTAATCTGACCATCATAGGCTAAGACCAGATCTGTTCAGTTTATCTCATAAGTTTAGTAGTTAAATCTCAGACATATTATACTTTTGTGACTGAGTGACTCCCATTGTAGGGATAAGTACTTCAGTGTGCATGTAAATGAGTCAATTGTCCCTTTTGGGGGCTTCAACAAATAAGCAACGATAACCTCATTGTGGAGAGCACTTCACAGTTGTTTTTAGGGTTACATAATCTACTTTGTATCCTTAAACACTTGAAGATCTGTTATAACTACATATGACGTAGTAGTCATAGTGTTTTCTAATATTAATACCTGTCTTCCACCTGGGAGGCATGTGTGGTGTGTCTGCAAATAACATGTTTATGATTATTGAGGCCCCCTATGCTGGACCTATGTCTGTGTTCAAGTGACCACAGGGTTACTGTGCTTTAGCATGGCTCCTTGGCTGGCTAAGTGAATAATTATTAAGTGAATAATTAAAGTGAGTCTTTTTTGCAGGAGCTAACTTAGACCAATCAGTCACTTTCCCTTTCTCTATGTAACACAAGCTGGATGGCATTTGTCTCTCCGTAGAATGACTAAATAATGATTGCAGGAGTCGGGGAAGACATCCAGCGATAATTAATTGGGAAGGTTTGGGAGCTGGGACATCCATTGAATGGCAATCAAATCATCTGAGTTGACTAGCTAGGAAAGCAAATTTAGCAGGCTTACTGTCTTTGGGAGAGACACACAAGAGTGTTAGTTTTCCTTCTAACAGTCAGCACCCTCAGCTGCATGTCTGTTGGAGTTTGCCAGAGGTCCACTCCAGACCTTGTTTGCCTGGGTATCACCCGCGGAGGCTGCAGAACAGCAAATGTGTAAGGGCTGATGTTGCTGCCTGATCTTCCTTGGGAAGCTTTGTCTCAGGGACACATGGCTGTATGAGGTGTCAGTCAGCCCCTACTGGAGGTGTCTACCAGTTAGTCTGCTCTGGGGTCAGGGACCCACTTGAGGATGCAGTCTGTTTTTTCTCTGATCTCAAACTTGTGCTGGGAGAACCATTACTCTCTTCGAGGCTGTCAGACAGGGATGTTTAAATCTGCAGAAGTTTCTTCTGCCTTTTGTTTAGCTATGCCCTGCCCGCAGAAGTGGAGTCAATAGAGGCAGGCAGGCCTCCTTGAGCTATGGTGAGCTCCACCCAGTTTGAACTTCCCAGCCACTTTGTTTACCTACTCAAGCCTCAGCAATGGCAGACCCTCCTCCTGCCTCGCTGCTGCCTTGCAGTTCGAACTCAGACTGCTGTGCTAGCAGTGAGCGAAGTTTCATGGGTGTGGGACCCTCCGAGCCAGGCATGGGATATAATCTCCTGGTGTACAAGTTTGCTAAGGCCGTTGGAAAAGCACAGTATTAGGGTGAGAGTGTCCCAATTTTTTAGGTACCTTCTGTCACAGCTTCCCTTTGCTAGGAAAGGGAATTATCCGACCCCTTGCCCTTCCCGGATGAGGCGATGTCCCGCCCTGCCCGGTGGGCTGCACCCACTCTCTGACAAGCCCCAGTGAGATGAATCTGCTATCTCAGTTGGAAATGCGGAAATCACCTGTCTTTTGTGTCGCTCATGCTGGGCGTGTCAGACTGGATCTGTTCCTATTCGTCCATCTTCAACCTCCTAATTTTAATATCTTTATACTTTGCAGTTAGGTCACCTCTTTGTGAAATTAGAAACTACCATATTTACTTTAGATTGTTAGGAAGTAGTGTTACTTGGCTGGGCATGGTGGCTCACGCCTGTAATCCCAGCACTTTGGGAGGCTAGGCAGGCGGATCACGAGGTTAGGAGATTGAGAGCATCCTGGCTAATATGGTGAAACCCCGTCTCTACTAAAAATACAAAAAATTAGCCAGGCTTGATGGCAGGCACTTGTAGTCCCAGCTAGAGGGGAGGCTGAGGTAGGAGAATGGTGTGAACCTGGGAGGCAGAGCTTTCATTGAGCCAAGATCAGGCCACTGTACTCCAGCTTGGGTGACAGAGTGAGACTCCATCTCAAAAAAAAAAAAAAAAAAAAAAAAAAAAAAAAAAAAAAGTAGTAGTGTTACTTTACAAACCTCTATGAAAAGCAAAAAAAAACCTGTTAATCTTTATGACCTGCTTGTTGATTGTCAGATATACAAAATGTACAAAAGCATAGAGGTATGGAAAATTGAACTTTTTAGCACTGTTTGGTTTTCTTTGCTTGATAACATTTAACTCTTTCTTCAACTTTTTTGCTTACTCTCCTTCCCTCTAGTTTGTGAATAGCATAATGGAAGAAGCTGGAATTTGTGGGCTAAGAGAGAAAGCAGATATGTTGTGTAACTCTGAATCAAATGATATTCTTCAACATCAAGACTCAAATTACAGTGCCACAAGTAATAAGCATTTGTTGGAAGACAGAGAAGGCAGTGACTTTATAACAAAGAACAGGAGTTGGGTGAGCCCAGTGCACTGCACTCAAGAGTCAAGAAAGGAGCTTCCTGAGCAAGAAGTAGCCCCTCCCCGTGGTCAACAAGATTTACAATGCAGCAGGAACAAAGAAAAAGTCTTAGGTAACGATCTCTGGTCTATGATTGGATGTTGTCACATACTAGTCTTTTTGTTTTACATTTTCTGCAGCATGAGTGATTATGAACTTGGCCTGTTTGGAGGTAAATGTTGCCTAGTAAACTTGTTTCTTCAGTTGGTTTAGTCCACCTATCATCTCCAGTTGTCCGTAGGGAACAAAAATAGCAAAATAAGCCCATTTATAAGAAACTTAGTTATTTCTCTGTATAACAGGAACTTATGTTTTAAGAAACTTTGAGGCCAATTTGATGTCAATGCAATTGATGTCATTGCAATTTTTATTCTTAATCCATTTTCTGTTACCCGGGAAAACTAAAAAATGTATAGTAATATATAAAGTAATTGTAATTCCTTGAAAATAAGACAGATATCTTCAAAACTGATAGTCCCAAATATATGTGTAAAATATATAGCTTGATTTACCTTGCTTTTTGTATCTTTGAAAATGACCTAATAATTAGTGTGAAAACAATATGTATGCATATTTTGCTTAAAAGATTATTCACTGAAATTTAGAGAGGACATAATGCTATCTGTAGTTTAGAAACAGTTAAATAAGACTGATTTTTAGAATTTATTTTATATCTTTCACTCTGTTAGCTTGATGATTAGGATTAAGAATATGATATGTCAAATTTCATGACAGAAATCTGAAATACCTTAATAGTTGTCATCAGTATTTCATCCTTATTATACTAACATATACACTGATAAGTGTCTTATATATATGACTGAAACTTGCAATTTTTATTCTTAATCCATTTTCTGTTACCCGGGAAAACTAAAAAATGTATAGTAATATATAAAGTAATTGTAATTCCTTGAAAATAAGACAGATATCTTCAAAACTGATAGCCCCAAATATATGTGTAAAATATATAGCTTGAAGTTAAAATTGTTTAAAAAGCTTTAAATGAAAATCTTTATGAAAATGCCAGTTATGTTATAGTTGTTTTTTACGCATACACAATCAATAACAATGTTTATTTATTCTTTTTTCTAGAGAGACAGGGTCTTTCTCTATCACCCAGGCTGGAGTACAGCGGTACGATCATGGCTCATGGCAGCCTTAAACTCCTGGGCTCGTGATCCTCTCACTTCAGACTAGAGTAGCTGGAACAACAGGCATACAACACCACTCATGGCTAAATTTTTATTTTTATTTTGTTGTAGAGATGGGCTGTCATTCTGTTGCTCAGGCTGGTCTTGGTATACTGTCCTGTAGCAGTGTATGTTGGCTACGTATACTGGCCTTGGCTTGTTCAAGTGTCAGGATTACAAGTGTGAGCTACTATACCCTGCCCAGCATTTCTTTCTTAGTTGACTTTGCTGTGAATGAGAAAATAATTTAGTACTAAAATTTTATGTGCATACAAAAGTATTATTTGAAGTCAGCCTGTTTTCCCTCAACCTACAGTACTCTGTAAAGCATACTAAAAGTCAAGGTTTTCTGAAGATTATTTTTTTAAAGAACTGTGTTATATATGAGAGAGAACAAATCAAAAGGTACCTATCTCCATCTTTACCAGTAGAACCTTATTATGTATTTTGAAGCACCATTTGACTGAATTTCAGCTACTTGCTTGTCCCTTCCAAAATTATTATAGTACTCTTTTAAGACGTTTCCTCAAGGGAAGAGCCATTTTGACTTCCTTTTCTTTGATCTAAACCTAACACCCAGAATATGCTTAGTAGATCATCCCAAAACTATCATAACTTGTTTAAGTTGTTTATAGCAAAAGTTACATATTACAAAGAGTTATGAGCATCTTAGGCAGTGAATAGTAACTGAATATCCTTCTATAGTTGCCCTTCCCTAGCAGGAAGCCTTATTCCTTGCCCTTTTACATATCTTAACCTAAATACTGGTTAGGCAAGAGTAGTTCTTAAACTTGCAGTAATTACCTTTCACTACGTTTAAGGGCTAAATGGCTAGTAGTGGTACTTGGTAAATTAAGAAATTGTTAAGGCTAGAGGAAGTACCTGCTAAATTTTCAGAAGTTCCCTGAATTTAATAGGTCAGTCTGTTTTTAATTAGAACTATAACATTTTACTTTGAATGTCTTAACATAGAAGTTTACATAAAATTTACAGATTGGATTGATTTCAACCTTCTTCTGGTACTTTTTAAAATCTTATTAATCATCAGGAAAAGAAGTGTTATTACTGATGCAAGCCCTAAACACTCTTTCGACTCCAGAGGAGAAGTTGGCAGCTCTTTGTAAGAAATATGCTGATCTTGTGAGTATTTATTCAATGGAGAAAGGACCACAGAAAATAAAATATATGTGTGCTTGATAAGATTTTTAAATATTATTTTGATGTAACTTTAAATGTAAAATGATATTTTATCACAAAATTGAAGAAAACAATCTCCTTTCTTTAGTATTTATGATTGGCGTGTGTGACTTCATCTTATGAAACGATATATAGAACATTATAATACTTTTTAAAATGTGAAACAAATTTCCTAAAAGTCAGCCTTAGTATTCTAGATCAGCAGTTGTTTTTTTGTTGTTGTTGTTTTTTGTATGCTTAAGATTCCTGACAATTGGGAGGAAGTGGTTTCTGTATTTAACGTTTCCCAAGGGAATTCTGCAGATTCAAGCTCTAAACCATTCTTGATTAAAATTGTGAGTGAGATAAAATTGTTTAGTAAAATTGTACTGTGGCTCAGGAAATATTTATTTAATATCTACTATATGCCAAGCATTGTTCTGTTTTCCATTTTCCAGGAAAATTCACCTCTTCTATAGAAGAGTTATTTTGACCTATATGATTTGAAACAAAATTCTTTTTTCAGAGACTGTAGAAACATTCTCAACAGGGAAACCCTACCAGCCTTTGTAAAGCAAATAATGAAAAAGATACAGAACTTTTTGAAGAATCATGGGAAATTTTTTATAATTAATGTAAATGCTAAAATTCTGTTTTGTGAAACATTTATGGAAATTATCACTGTCAGTTTTTGTACATTTTCAAATGATGTTAAAACAGCAACTCCATATCGTAAATGCACAAAACAAATATTTAGTTAATCAACTCCAAGAATAAAGCTGTAACAATAACAATAATAGTTACTATTCTCTCATGTGGTTCATAGTTACTTCCACTTAGCTGGCATCTTCAAGTGCCACCTACTTAGCAGCCTGGCACTTTCTGATATATAGAGAAGCAGGAATCCCTGAAAATAAACGTGAATAGCTTAGAACTGTCCAAAAGCAAAGAGAGTAGAAAATAAAATTGTTGATTGCTCTGTTCAGGAAGGGAATGCTTCCATTGGATATGGAAGCCAGTCTCAGTTGTTACATCAGCCTGAGGTAAATCATGTGAGAAATGCCAGAAAAAGAAGACAGCAACAAAGAAAATAAAAGAAAGACTGACAAAAGAATTGAATTTCTGGTAGAAAAAGCACTGCACTAGAAGGTTAGATTTCCTAGCAGTCAGCCATGAAAGGGTTAGGGAAGAAAGAGCAAATTGACTGCATAGTGTAGCTTGGTCATCTAAGGTGGTTCTCAAACACATAGAAATCACACAAGGATTGTCAAATTGAAGATTCTGATTTAGTAGATCTGAAAATGCACTTTGTAAAATTGGCCACGGTAGGGGTGAAAGTGACTAAAATACTGCATTATTTATTTATTTATTTATTTTATTTGTTTTATTTTAGTCAGAGTCTTGCACTGTCACTCAGGCTAGTATGCCATGGTTCAGTCACAGTTCCCTACAGCCTTGAACACCTAGGCTCAAGCAATTCTCCGGCATTAGCTTGCTGAGTACCTGGCACTACAGGCATGCACCAGCATGCATGGCTAATTTTGAGAAATTTTTTGTAGAGATGGAGTTTTGGTATTTTGCCCAGGCTGGTCGTGAACTCCTGGGCTCAAGTGATCCTCCCACCTCTACTTCCCAAAGTGTTGAGTGAGATTACAGTCTTGAGCCAGCATCCCTGGCCAAGAAAGATGTTTATAATAGCTATAAGAATATTGCCTGCAAGGATGTTTGATAGGTTTCTTGATATGTCATTCTCTTTTGAAATGTTTGCCTTGTCAATGTTTTATTTTTCATAAAAACTTTACTCAAGAATCAGGATGACCACTATGTTACCTAGTAATGTAATTTGGAATCATTTATTATAAATCTGAAACTGACTGGACTGATGAATCTTGAGCACTGCTTATTGTGTTTTAATTTTAGTAGCTGTTTCAATAAAATAGCTCTTGTAGAATAGGAAAACTATATCATTTTTCATCTGAAATAAGCTTTTGATTAAAAGATTAGTTTTTCCTATTAAAAAATGGAGATTAAGATTGCTTTTCTTGCTACACAAAATTATTTACATACTTTCCTGTCACTAGAAAAGAGGGGAGTATAAAGTGTTCCATGGCTGTAATTGCAGTGCATAGAACTAAAACTCAGATTACTATACTTCCTAAATGTAAAGTGGTTATTAATTTTAGCTGGAGGAAAGCAGGAATGTTCAGAGGCAAATGAAGATTCTGCAGAATAAGCAAGCTCAGATTGTGAAAGAGAAAGTTCACTTGCAGAGTGAACACAGCAAGACCATCTTGGCAAGAAGCAAGCTAGAGTCTCTTTGCAGGGAACTTCAGCGTCAAAATAAGACATTAAAGGTTAGTTGGTTTATTTTACTGTGTTTCAGGAAGTATATAGGCTGCTTATATAATCACCTTGTATCTACTTAAAATAAATTCTTGCTCTATATCTTTTAATGGGAATTAGTTGCTATAATGGCTACTCGTTAACTGGCTCAGGTACACTTGTGCTGGCAGATCAGATTCCTAAGCAGAGGACTTTGTAAACATCTTAACACAGAGATACCTTGCTTTTTGCTTTGCTTGAGCTGATGCTGCTTGTGAGATAACTCTAAATTTAAGACTCACTCTATGTGAATTTTGGTTTCAGATTCAAGGGTAAGCTCTACCTTAATCTAGTGTATACTTGATCACAGGGAATCTAGATGGCATTGGTTTTTATGTTGACAGCTCTTCTGCTTAAAAAGCTCAGAGTTGCCAGACTTTTTTTGTTGGTCTCTGGTGTAGTTGGTTACCATGTCCTCTTTTGGTAATGAGTGAAAAACTTAGCTGAAATGAGAAACCAGTAGCCATAGTCAGTGTGAGTTTGAGAAAGAAAAACACATTGTAGAGCTCTACTATAAAAGTTAATAGGATACATTTCTAAACTACATTCTGCCATCCTTGGCTATTTGGTTGCTAAATACTTTTAGAATATTACTTACAACTAGGCTGATTATAACAGAATAAAGATTAAGTATGACACCTTGTCTCAATAACAAGTAAAAAGCAGAGATCCTGGAAAGAAGCTGCCATCCATCAGAGGAATTTGTCTGACTTTGTGGTATTGCCAGGGGGTGTATAGTTGGAGTATTATTTTGATGGTGTGGGATCACCCTCATCACAGTAAACTCTCAAGAACATAGGACAGCTTGTGAAATCGGTTCTTACTTGTAAGGTTTGTGTTTATTTTTCTTGCTTTTGAAATATTGGATTTAAATATAATAAAAGTAGATAGCACTGTTAATATTTAGACTGTATTGATAACTGTGTAGGTAGAGGTCTTTTGACACTTGTATCCTAGTAAGATTTTGAAAGTAAACTTTGTAAAATAATGATTTAGTTTGTCCCTTCCCTGTTATAAAGTGGAAAGTGTGACTCAGAATGTAGGCTGCAAGATCTTCAGGCTGATGTAGGATGATATACTGCCTAACCAGTGAGGATGACATTTGGGAAAATAATGTGGCAAAAACTGTGTGGAGCAGCACCTCATTTATGTGTAATTATAATATAGTGAATATCTGGATCAACAGAGAATACTTATTTTATAGTAGGGCATTTACTATTCTCTAATTATCTACTTAGAAAAAGCTGCTTGCTTTTAAAGGAGAGATTTCTGGTCATAAATAAAGGGGAGGAATTATAGTTTGAAAGCAACACATCATGGGAACAATAAATGAATACACATAGCAATTACTTCTTTTTTAAGAGTTTTACCTATAGATTTACACCTTTAACTTACATTATTTTGGATAATAAGGAAGAATATATGCAGCAGAAAAAAGAGGAGGAAGAAGGTCTTAAAGAAATAACTGCACATTTCCAAATTACTTTAACTGAAATTCAAGCCCAGCTGGAACAGCACGAAATACACAATGCCAAAGTGCAGCAGGAGAATGTGGAAATGGAAGAGAAACTAAAGAAGCTCACTGACCAATATGCACTGAGGGAAGAGGTAAACGGCATTTGGTTTGTTTCTAGACAGCTGCTCACCAGTAGCAAAAGCTACACCCTACCCAAAAGCAAAAACTCTTTCACAGGACAGTATTTTAGAACTTCTGTGTATGCACAGTGGAAATTACATGTTTCTTTGGAAAAGAGTAGACACCTGTAAACAGAATGACTAAATTGGAGCATCACTTGGCCCAAGTGTCAGTGGAGTTGGATAAGTGAAGTGATTTCTAGGAGATGTGTACCACTTGTCTCCCATATGATGCCACTGGATTGTCATTATAGCATACAGATATTTTTCTCTTATGCAGTCTAATAATATAGATTTGGTCCCCAGATACTCTGTATCAAATTTCTGTGACAATCTGAACAATATAGATAGGAGAATTGTGCTATTTGTGAGAATAAGGAACCTACTAATAACCCATCACCTAGTCATATTGTTTATGTAATCAATGAAGTAAAAAGTTTGTGGAGGACTCATAATTGTTGAACCTGGTCATTGGAGTTATTTTATACATTGATGTGGAAGTTGTATGATGTCTAAATCAAAAGCAAAAGGTGATTCCCTGCTTATTTGTTTTAATTTTTTCTTTACTTTTAGAGGTCAAATATATAGGGTAAGATTTCCATTTTCAAAGGATTAATCCCCTTTATTATGCTTTAAGCTAGCAAGATATATATTGAAATCCTTACTTAGTAAATTAAAATTGAAAATAGAAAGTGACAATTTAAAATTAATAAACAATAAATATTATTTTATGCATATCAAAATGTTAATTTACACCTTTTCATGCTACTTTTGAAAACATTTTTCTCAAAGATTTTGAATATCTTTTAAAACCATTTTCCTCTGTTTCAGGAACGTTTCAAACTTATTATGGAAGTTGCAGACTTACAGTAGAATATATCACTTAGCTTTAGCAGTTATTTACTTTTGTTTCTAGCAACTCTTGTTTCCATCTATTTTTAAACAAATCCAAGATGTTATATCATTTTATTTATTACTGTTCGAATGTGCATCATGAAATAAGATTCTTTTTAAGCCATAACCACTGCACTATTTTTAGACCAAAAGGTTAAACAATTACTATGTAATCGCATACCTTGTCACTCTACTGCTTAAATATCTGTTACTTCTCTTTTTCTTCGGATTGTTTACATCAAGATCAAAATAAGGTTTATACATTTTATTGTTTTAATATGTCTCAACTCTTTTTAGGATGTAAGCTTCCCCCCCTTTTTTTTTCCTTGGAGTGTATTTATTAAATAAATTTTTTAGGCCTGTATAGTGAACTTTTAAAAATTTGGTTTATTTTATAAAGCATGTTGTGAATGTCATCAGTTTTTTTTAAAAGGACCCTTTATATTCCATTGTTTTAAATAATGGTATTAAAAATGATTAATTTTATTTTATTTTTTATTAGTTTACTATTTAGGATTTATATTATTTTAACTGTATTAAACTCTCCAAATTTGCTATAGAAGTAGCAGATTGAGAGGGTACATATGTTCAAATTGTACTACTTGTAAGTCTTGTTTAGATATTATAGTCTTTTTCTTTTATTAGAAAATAATTGAATAATGATAAAATCAGTTGCAGATTAAGACAGATTATCTGTTGCAGTGTCCTCAAAACTTAATTTAAGTACATTGTTTTCACCTAGCATTTCTTCCTTCACAGAATCCCATGTGTGAAGGGAATTCCTAACGAGTTTATTGCATATATGTAAGCACTTAACAATGTAGCTTTTAATTAATAACATGATTTTACCAAATGTTTAATATGTGCCAGACATCAAGCACCTTATACAGTTTAATTATTGCATAGATTTGGACAGCAACTCTGCAAGTTAGGTATGGTCATCCACCTTTGAAGATAAGGAAACTGTTTCACAAGGAGAAGAGCTTGTCCTGGATCATACAATAAGCTAGGATTTGCTCCAGACCATTTTTTTCATTTTATCAGGCTACCTACAATTAAGGAATTTCAGAAGGTTTTGTGAACAAAAAAATGTCCAGAAATTATGTGTGTAATGAATGATTTTGATCTCCTCATCCATCTTTTTCTTGATAAAGTATCAGCTTTTTTTTTCAGTGTAGGGCAGAAGCAGGAAGCACAAATATTGTGATGGAAACAGTCTACCTCTGATAGGGTGGGGCATGGGGCAGCAGTTAGAGGGTTGTGCTCTTTCCAGTGTGGGATAGTTTGCAAGATATCTTGTAGCCACTTCTGCAGTGACAGGGACAGAGGGAGTCAGTATTCTTAGCTACAGTGGTAGCAACAGAAAAGAAGAGTAAGCAGGGTTCTAGAAATTTGTGTTATGTTTTCTCCCCACTGTTTTTCTTTCTTTGGTTAGTGATGGAAGAAATTCTGTTTTCCTGTAGCAAATTAATAAAGCGTTCAAACATAAGGAATTACAACAACAGCTTGTAGATGCCAGACTTCAACAAACAGCACAGCTGATAAAAGAAGCTGATGAAAGACATCAGAGAGAGAGAGTGTTTGTAAGTTCTACTTCTTGAAAAAAAAAAAAAAGATTGCCAAAATTGTAACCAAAGCCATTTAAAACAAACCCCTCACTTAACATAGTACCAGCAATGCAATTTTGTTTCTTACTGTCTGGATTTGGGATATGTGAGAGAGAGAGAGAGAGAGAGAGAGAGAGAGAGAGAGAGTGACTGTGTGTGTGTGTGTGTGTGTGTGTGTGTGTGTGTGTGTGTGTGTGTGTGTGTGTGAATATATTAAGCTTTCTGTTTCTGATGAAATTTTCATATGAAATTTACTGGAGATAAGATTAAATTAGTGGAAAAACAAAATAATATTGCTTTCTATGTGGTGGTCACCAAGTTAAAGAATTGTGCCAGTTATTAGGCAAGTTAGGCCTTGAGAGTTAGGTACAGTTAACTTAGTGAACTTAGCGAATATGAGACTTCTACCTAGTATTACATTTCATTTTTAAATAAGCAACTTAAAAATTGGTAAATGATTTGTTTACTTTGATTGATTATATTCTGGTATAATTTTCTGACAAAATTATCTGTGTCTTAGTCATCATTGTTGCTAGAATATGTATTCAGATTTTGTCTGTCCATAATTGAGAACACAGAAAAAATCTCATTTGAGTATATGCATTTACCCCATGGAAATGAAACTATATTCTATGAATGAAAAATTTGACAAATGATTTTCATAATGTGGTGTATTACATTTTCTTCATTCAAGTAATGTAAGCCCTGAGTAGCCCTGTAAGCATATTGTGAATATTTAGTTCCTTCATGTTTTTCTCATTCAAACCTCTCATATTGAATGAGTCTAGGGTTCGGAGAGATGTTTCACACAGCATGTCTCTTCAGTGCAAGCTGACAGGTATCAGTGCACAACTAAACTTAATTGCACCTTTCAATTTGGAATATACATTTTGTATATATCTATGTATATCTATGTGTACATTTTAAGATATGTTTAAGGCTTATTTACATAATATGTGACATTTTACCTCAGAAATTCAGTGACTGAATTTCATAGCTGCTTACTATGCGTCTTTATTATCTGTTTCTGAAAAACTCAAATATTAATTAATCTCTTTTCTTCCTTTAGCTGTTCCTTGCCTGTGGTTTTAAAAAAGTGACCAGAAACTAGGTCTCTATTTTCATTGCTTTGCTGCATATTCTTTTAACCTGCTCTTGTCTTTTACAGAGTTGAGGGGCTTTCTAAATAACCTAGATAACGTCAAGATTCTTAGCTGCATTTTCTGTCTGTATGTGTAGATGTCCAGTTATTTTCATGTAAAACATAATATTTCAACCCTAAGTATTACAAACTTTATTATGCTTCTAGGCTACTTTTTCTCCTTAATTATTTTCTCCAATTATTCCTTCATTCCTAAGTGTTCACCAGTGGGGCAGATAAGAGATACAAGTAGTTGGAAATTGAGATAATTGGGTTGACCTGTCATTATTGCTAGGATAATTACTGGAAGATTAAACCTATCTGTTTGATATTTTGACCGTGTTTATAATTGTTGTTAGTATTCTGTCAGAATGTTTCTGTTTTCTAGTTGTTAAAAGAAGCAACAGAATCGAGGCACAAATACGAAGAAATGAAGCAAGAAGAAGCACAACTGAAAGAGCAGGTAACTTAACAACAGAGAATAGCAGAATTTATGTTTCTTTCTTCCCAGCTACAGACTAGAACAGAGGATTTGATCTCTTGTCCTCTTGGAAACTTTCTCTTCTTTTAGGGTGACCAATTCATTCTGATTTGCCTTGATTCTTTTTTTTGTTTGTTTGGCACCATAAATAAGTTTTATTCATTTTGGCACCCCTACTTCCAGGTTGATTGTGATGGCTGATTGTGATGGCTGATTGTGATGGCTATTTTGAAGGTCAGCTTTCCTCTGTTCCAGATACTTTTCTAAAACCTTTAGAATTTTGTCTTATGGGTAGCTACATGTAATCTTAAAATATTACAAATGGCCAGACAGTCCTGCTTCACCAAAATATTTTGTGTGTGTATGTACGCTTTCTAAAAAAATATTGGGGCTGTCTCCAGTTTTCAGTCTAGACACCCATAGTGTCCCATTCTAGTCTTTGCGTGCTTTTATTGTTTGAGGTAAAGGAAACAGATACTTTCTAAGGAAAAGTATCAGAAATGTTGTGCAGAAAAAGCGTAGATATGTGTGATTTTCCAGAATATTGCAATGGAACATCTGCATTTTGTGTACTTGATGTGAAAGCTCTTGATTTAGGATACTGCAATAATAAGACTATTGTTAGTCTTAAATTGAATAAAATGAAGAGATTTTGGAGCAAAGTTGGAATAGTAAGCACCAGATCTATCTCAGAAGACAGCAGTATTAACAACCAGTCACAGAGTTAAAGTAACCAAGTGAAGAAATCAAAGCCATAGGATAAAAAAAGGATATTATCAAGAAACTTACCATTAACTGGCCTGATCTAAAAGTGAAAAAAAAAAAGAAAAAAAAACTTTTCTCTCATTTTGTTATGGCTTAAAGCTTTCAATTTCATAAAACAAAATAAATTCCATAAAAAAAAATGTTGTGGTTCTCACCTCTGAAAGTTTACTAATACCAACCTAGTCTTCATAGACAAGAGTAGTTAGGTGTTTCTTTGTATAATCATCCTTGTAATGCTAAAATACACTAACATTGAGACTGACATACATCTTCATATGTACCCCTTGGAACGATGTTTATCTTTGGGAACAGTTTATCATGTAGCCATATTATGTGAAGCAGCCAGTTGATAGTGAAAATTTAGGAGACGTTGAATATCAGAAGTCTGTTGAACTTTCTATTATGTAGAAATTTTAAGCCCTTTTTATATCCCTACAGTTGTCCATATAAATAGAGATGAAAATTAATGTGGAGAACTTATAAATTCCCCAGCTGGCTTTGGAAGATGTTCCTGAATGTAAGAGTCATTGATAATGCTGTAAAAGAAGTCACCAGAGGACTCTTACTAAATTCCCTGCCAGCTCTGTTTCTCTCATTAATAAAGCTTCTATTTTTTCTATTTCTGTTAGTCAAGAGGATTCTGTGATTTGTACCTTGAAATCACAGAATGTTCTTGTTTAGCTACAATTTTTTTCCTTTGCTGAACCTCTTTTTGTGGTACCTAAACGGGGCTGTCTTTCCCAAGAGTGTCTTATTTTCTGCTGTTAAAACATGTCTTTTCCCAGGATTTGCTAGTGATAGTCAGTCTTTGTATTGCCTTGATGCACTGTTTAATAATCTAGCCATGGAGGCAGCCAGATATGATGGTAGTTGCCACTTACTGGCTATCCACTCTGGGCTACCCACTTGAACTTTCAGATGCGACAACCTTTACCTGGATGTTTCATCTTTATAAAATGGACCATAACCAAACTGCTAATTTCTAATGGCCAACCACCACAAGAACAGCTCCCCTCACTCTGCCTGAACCACTACTATTGCCGCCACCTCTAGGCAGATAGACTCAGAGGCTCTGTCAGTGTCTGCTAACAAATTATGGGTATTCTCCAGTTTGCTCTACATTTCTTATTTTTATTTGATAAATATTAGATGTACATATTTTGGGGGTACCTATGATATTTTGTACCTGAATACAACATGGGTGAAAATGGGCAGACATTAAGTGAAATAAAGCAGACACAAGATGACAAATATCATACATTCTTATAAGTAGGAGCTTAAAAATGATCACAGGAAGGTAGAGTACAGAATGAAACTGAAGATTGGAATGGTAATAGAGAAAGGGAATGAAGAGAGGTTGGCTAATGGATGCAGCTATATGAATAGATAGGAGGAATAAGTTCTAATGTTCACTAGCAGAGTAGAGTGATTGTGTTTAACAACAATGTAATATTTGTTTCAACATAACAAGAAGAAAGAACTTGAAATGCTGCCAACATGTAGAAATGATAATATTCAAGATGATGGACATACTGTTAATGGTTATTTGATCATTAAACATTGTATACAAGTTCCCCTACATTTCTGTGCCTGCTGTTTCTTTTTATCCTGGTCTATGCCCTTATCTTTCTATAAGCATGGTTTGGCTGCCATATAGCTCTCTCTTCTAGTTTAATATCATTGGTAACTTTGTTTGCTATCTTCAGCACCCCTTAATCGCCGCCCCCCTTACCCTTTCACACGCACACACACAGCATGCTTCTAAGTACCTTCTTTATGGTTATTCCCTCTGACTGTGAGTGGGCTAGGTGCTGTCATTCTCTCCTTTATCTTATTTAGGTGGCTCTGTTTAATATCCTTAATACAGCATTGGTGAAAGTTGAAAGGCAATGTTTGTGAATATTCTTTTATTCTATTTTACTTTTCTTGGGCAAAATACTTTATTCTTCTGGGCCTGTTTCCTGAAGATAATGTAATTACATTAAGGTCTCTAAAGGATTTCTTTCTGGTCTAAAATGAAATCATTCAGCTCACTTTTGAAGCCTAAGTCAGACATTATGTATATGAAGCTTTCCCTAAAATGTGGATTTCTTTGAAGTCCACTGTATTGACTCCTAATATGCTTTCACCCCTACTTTGCTGAACCTTCTATTTTAAGTATGAAAAAAGGTAACTAAATGTAACATTCTGCTTGGTTTTCTGCCGTTATTCTCCGACTTAAAATGTCTATGATGATGGGTTTAAAAGAAAATTGCTTTTTCAACCTCTTTTAGGTTTTTTTCTTAACTGTACTCCTACTAATTTTCTCCCCCATCGAACTGTTCAGCTTTTGGTTTATTTTTCTGCATACATAAAGGAAAGAGTTAGCCTTAATATTAAAGTAAGAACTAGTTGCCTTCAAGTAAGCTAAATACTCTAAAGGGATGCTCTTTTTATAAGAAAAGTTTTTCAAATGTAAGGAGACTTGGTAATACCCAAAGCATTATGGTTATATGAAATTCACAGCTATAGCACTATACTTCAGTTTGTATTACATTTGATGGAGTAGAGCTAATAAGTGATTTTACCTTTTGTTTGCTTGTTTGTTTTGTTTTGTTTTTGTGAGACAGAGACTGCTCTGTTGCCCAGGCTGGAGTGCAGTCGTGCAATCTCGGCTCACTGCAACCTCCACCTTCCGGGTTCAGGCGATTCCCCTACCTTAACCTCCCAAATAGCTGGAACTATAGGCAATTGGCACCATACCTGGCTAATTTTTGTGTTTTTTAGTAGAGATGTGGTTTCACCATATTGGCCAGGCTGGTCTGTAACTCCTGACATCTTGATCCACCCGACTTGGGCTCCCAAAGTGCTGGGATTACAGGTGTGAGCCTCCGCACCTAACCGTACATTTTAACATTTACAGTTAATATGATTAAGACAGTGAAGTTTCAGTGCATTCCAGTGGGTTATAAAAATTTCAGGGATATATTCTGCAGTCCAGGGATTGAGTGCATGCTTCTGTTGTTTTTCAGTCATTTATCAAACCTAATGTTTATTTATATTAAATTTTTTGAAAGTTATTATGTTATTTTAAAATATTTTGGGGTTTTAAATTGCTTTTCTGAAACTCTGAATATTTGATCATTTTTTTTCTATAGCTTTTCCTTTATATGGATAAGTTTGAAGAATTCCAGACTACCATGGCAAAAACCAATGAACTTTTTACAGCCTTCAAGCAGGAAACGGAAAAGGTATCTACATATTTTTAATAGAATATTATGTAAAAAGTAATTGATATTAGAGGCTATTTTAAACATAACTGTGGCCAAGCATGGTGACTCACACCTATAATCCCAGCGTTTTCGGAGGCCAAGATAGGAGGATTGCTTGAGGAGAGGAGTTCGAGACCAGCCTGGGTACCATATTGCTACAAAAGTAGAAAAAAAAAAAGGTCGGCAGACGTGGTGGTGTGCAGTGGCAGTCCCAGCTACTCGGGAGTCCCAGGAAGAAGGATTATTTAAGGCCAGGAGGTTGAGACTAGAGTGAGCCATGATCATGTCACCTTTCAGCCAGGGTGACAGAGGGAGACCCTGACTCTGAAAGAAAAACCAAAAAAAGCATAATTGCTACTTATGTGAGTTTATATTAATCTTTTTTTTTTTTCTTTCACCAGCTTATTCAGGCATTTTGCCCTCAAGTTGCCCCAGAATATTAATTATCATGACATTCTGAGACTTCTATTATAATTAAAGAGAATTCTTCCATTAAGGACAGTTTATTTGTAGATCATTTTTGTTTAGTCACCTCTCTTAATTACTCAGTTCTTTCACATACCCTTATGTAAACTATAAATTTTATATAAAATTATTTTAAAAATCCAGGCCACGGAAAGTAGTGATACATCTTGGTAGGAATAGCTTTATTTCTCAGGACCTAGCTAAACCTGAAATGTCTTTACTCTGAAATTTAAACTCTCTCTCTCTCTATATATATATATTCACACAGTATACAAGATGTATTCTTAATACAAAATTTAAACTGGTTTTTAAAATTAGGTGTAGAAAAATGTTCTGGATTATTCCAGTTCAGAATACAGGCTAAAATAGCAATTTTAAAGAGCAGAATTATCTGTCGCCCTAAATAAACAGATAGCACTATGGTTTGGAACATGAACTCTGAAACTGATATCTCTAACTTGCACTTTATGACTTCCTTAGGGTGAGTCATTTACCTTGGCATTTCCCTATTTAAGTTGAGATTTTTAAAAAATGTGCTGATTGGGAATAGTACAGTAGTTATGTCTGGGAAATTCATAGGCATTCAATATATGTTAGTCTTGATTATTATTAGATCTTATGTAGTTGAGTTTAGTCAGATTTGAGCTAATACTTTCAGTGCTATAGATGATCCTATAACAAGTTATTTCCATAACACATCTTTCCATGTCTTTCTTTTCTCATGGTTAAAAATAAAAAGAGCAAAAACATCTAATATACTTCAGTCAATGCTTGGTTGTATAAAATACTCAAATTACTATCTTCATTACTTTTTAGACTTACTAATTTGGAGAATTCATTGAGTTACAGATTAGTTCTACCTGCCTATCCTTTCAGTTGTGACTCCAGTGGAAGTGGAACTGTTAGGCACAGTGAAAATGTTAGATGGACTATAGCATATGCTCACTGTTGAAGCAGAATAGAGTTTAAGTCCTTTCCTTAATGGTTGTAAAGATCAGTGTAGTTCAGCACCTAAAGCTCTTCCCATGGGTTTTGTACGAGTTTGACTTGTGATAAAGTTTTGTGTGTTAACCAAAGCGCAGGACATTTGTTCTATCTTAACCTTATTCTTCTTAACATTACCTGTATTTCGAATAAAGCTGGTTGAAGGATATACCTAAAGTTTATCCTGAGTTTTTGGGGATTTGGTTCTTATAGTATAGGTTCTTCCTCCCCTTATTTTTGGACCATTTTGGTCTTTAGCAAAATGTGAAATAAAGCAATCTTGTGAATTGAAAGGATAAATGAAACTAAGGATTCAGAAATGTTAATATCTCTTTCCTGATTACTTACCTGAATTATGCTACCTCTAGTTCTTACCCTGATTTGCTTTCAGATTCTTGAGCTACTTTGGGGCTGAGAGTATATAAAATAGTCTGATAGATAGTTTATCATTTCTCCAGAAAACTCATGGACATTTTTTCGTATATGTTGGGAGTAGGAGGTCTCAACTCTACTGTTCACAGCTGAGCTAAACTATACACTATTGTTAACTGAGAGAGTTCAGCTACCATGTGCTCATTCCTGTGAAATTAAGGACAACAAATTTGTTTTATTTTAATGTGAAACTTCTGCTTTGGTTACTGCTGCTTTTACCATAGGAGCCTCTGAGATAAGCTTTACTAACAAAAGACAAATACCACTTAAACTCTTATAAAGACAACACAGATGTCAGCTGGTTGAGAAGAGTATAGTGATGGAGGAAGGGAAGAACATTGTAAAGTTATTTCTGTGGTGGATCAGGAAATGAAACTTAGAATTTAAATTTATGATTATGTTGATTCACAGCTGACAAAGAAAATTAAAAAACTGGAAAGAGAAATGGTAATATGGTGTACCAAATGGGAAAATAATAATAAAATACTTCTGCAAATGGCTGAAGAGGTAAGAAGGTGTTACATGACAAAATAATGGGTACTTACTTACTTCAGTATGAAGACTAAGTCATTATTTAGCCTTAACTAAATAACCTCTGAAAGTATGTCTTTACCTTCAGAATTGTACCTAACAACTACAAGTTTTATTTATATACTTTCATGCAGCGAGTTAGATTTTCTTGCATATGATTAACTTCTTTGCCTCAACAAAGTTATTATCTCAGAGTTTTGTTGTAGAAAACTTTATTGTATCAAGATTTTGCTTTCCTATATAGCAAAGTTGAGGTTACACAAACTCAGCCTTATCAAACTGACTTCCCTGTAATGAAATTTTTTGCTTCATTAGTTTCTAGTGTTGCCCAGGAATTTGCATTTCTAGATATTCAAGCAATGCTGATATTCTTAGTTCAGATTCTATGACTTTGACAGTCACTTGCTCTACATTTAGAAAAGATAGCTTTATTCAGATTTTCCCCTGAGAGCATTAATTAGTACCTCATTTGCTTTTCTACCTTGATTTATTCATTTCCAAAAGGCAACTAAGTACATTTTTCCAAGTTTGCTTTAAATATATCTGAGATGCATACCATTTGCAGTCACTTAAGTTTTATTTTGTAAACTTAATTGGACTAATTATAACATTTCATAAAAAAATGTTGGAACATGCTTTTCTCAAAAATGGTAGAAAGGAAGAAAAACCCATGTAAAAATAACTTTAATGAACTCTTACTGCTGGCATTTTTTAAACATTTTCCCAAGTTATTTTTATTATACCAGTGATAATATTTATAGCAATAATTATCATTTAATGGTAGGTATTATAATGTATAATGAGTTGATTCAGTTAGATTTCACAATTTACAGTCTACTCAGTCATCCTATTAGACTTCAGTAATGACATAAAATGGCTAAAACTATTTATATTTGGGTAGAAAAACTGCAAGCAGATAAAAATAGCATCTTCCCTTAATAGTTGGATATGATTTTGTTTTATGGTCTTTATATATATATATATATTTTAGCTCTTTACTAAATAGCTTATTAGATGATAGAAAAAGTATAATATAGCTTATTTTAATATCCTAGTTAAAATTGACAGTTATCACTTTGAAATTTTTTTTCAGAAAGCAGCTGTGCATTCCCTTGGTGAGTTATTTTATATAAAAAGGAAATTAACAATTATAACATTATCTTTGCTTCTATAGGAAAACTTATGCTCGCATTTTTGATGAATAGCTTTAATTTTCTTCATACTTCACTAAGTCAACTTAATACTTAAAGTCAAAAGGTCCATTCTGGTTACTTCACAGAAAATAACAGAGATAATTTTTATTGCATTGCATAAGGATAATTTTAAATATTTAACATAGCACTATATAGTGAGGTTTAAGATGTGAATACAAAGCAACTTTTTTTATTATGGCTCAATTTACTGAATTTTGGATACAGTAACCTAATGATATTTAGTGAGGCTACATCTTTTTTTCTTACAGAAAACTATTCGTGATAGAAATTATAAAGTTTTTCAAATAAAATTGGAGCGATTAGAGAAGCTGTACAAGGCTCTTCAAATAGAAAGAAATGAGCTCAGTGAGAAAGTGGAAGTTCTGAAAGGGCAGGCCTCTGTGAAAGTAGCAGATGCAGATTTAGCAGTGCCTGTGATGCATTCCTGTGCTGACCTGGATTCTTCCAATATGCTGACCACTTCCTCTAAAAGAGCGCCAGGAGTCCGCTTGGAGGCTGACCCCAAAGGAATGAATGAGGCGAAATGCTATTCAAAAGGCCCTCTCCACGGGATCTCTAGGCATTGATTAAGATGAAGTATGATCATTGTATTGATGGATATATTTTGTGTACATATTTCTCTTTTAGTTGTAACTATTGGTTTTGTATGAAAATTTCCTCTACTTTTTCTATCATATCTGTATTTTTTTAGAACTACTGGACTGTATGGTACAGAAAGCTTCTTACCAATTTCCCCAACTATGTTGCACATCAGCCTTATTTTCCCCCTTTATTGGAACGCATGTTTTCATTGCCTTGTACTTTCAAAATGTATGTTTGTGTATTCATTACCTTAATTTGAGACTTTTTTATAATGGTTTCCTAATGTGAAATCAAATACTAATTTAAACTCTGGAGCCCATAATATATATATAAAAGAAAATATGAACTGATTAATATTGTCACATCATTTAAATGACAAGTAAAACTCCAATGGATTAAGAAACAAGCATGGCATGTTTGATTCAGATCAGGTTTTTAACAATATTTATATGAATTGCCAAATTGATGTGACTGTAAACCTTGAATTCCTCAAAATTGGCAGAATATATTTTATATATATATATATATATATATCATTTAAATGTACATGATGTTAAGAAAAACCAAAACAGTAGCATATGCAGAAGTTACTGGACCAATAGGCTTAATGTTTATGAAACTGAAAATTGTTCTGCTTTATTTCAGGTTATCAATATCTAGATCTCTGCACTTGGCATGGAAAATTCTGAACTATTTATTCCTTAATTTTTCTTTTATTTCAGTTGCTCATGTAGCTAAATAGTTTTACGTATATTCTCTCATCAGATTTGTGGTCTAATAGAGGTAGAAAATGGAAATTTTCCCAGTACTTAGAAATATGGCACTTAGGAAGAAGTCTGGCATGTGAGTTACATATACAATTACCCTAGTGACTATGATAATCAAGGGGGCAGATAGCAGAGGAAAATAAGTTAACATTAAATTTGACAGATTTTATTATTTTGCCACAATTAGCAAAACAAAAATACCTTCCCCCGCTTATCCCCCAGCTTTTTATAAATATTCCATTCAGGTACAAAACAAAATACTGGACCCACTTCTTTCAGGAGATGAAGATACCTTATATACTCTAAGGTTAATACCAGCAGTCATAGTTTATCAGAACTCTGCTTGATGTAAGCTCTTAATGTTATACTAAGGCAATTTCTTAGGCTGTGAAACTTCTTTGTGGTACTTGTTTTGTGTGAAAGGTAAATTTTGGGGAGAAAGCAGTGTAATTGACAGAACTTGGTCTGTTGTTTTTGGCATACTGTTTCTGTTAGATATCCTGTGTTATAACACAATATTAAGAAGATCTGGATTGTATTTTGGAATTTGGTTTCCTTTCAGAATTATTCCTCTGGCTAGCAGTGGAAACAACAACAACAAAACCCAAAGGAACCCTTTGCAGAAGATTCCTTTGTAAATGGCCCTGTGGCATGCCCAGTATCTGCAGTGTTCTAGAATAGGAGTTGTCAAAACTCTCTGTTTGCTTAGGCTGCAGAGTTGAACATGTCCATAAATGTATAGAATCTGACCCTGTTTTTCAGCCTTGTTTCTGGACACTGTAGCTGACCAAGAAAATGTTTAAATGTTGAGATAACTTAAATTGTTTTGTTATATCATTCTGGAGTTGTAATATGTATAGTGGCAGGGAATTCCAAGCTATAGAAAAAACATGAGTATAGAATAACAGAGTGTGTCATCTTCAGATGTGTTTTAATATATTTCTTGATAATGAGACTAGTATTTCTAAGTTAATGGAACTGTTTTATTACACCTGATAATCACAGGTTCACTTGTCTATTGCAGAATTATCTACCTCTTTCAAACTGTAAATGAAAATAACTGTGAAAAAAAGGATACAGTACTGATAAACACACTGCTTTGTTTTTATCTCACCTCTTTTTTAAGGATATGATTTTATAAGAGGCAGTTAGTTCTCTTTTGCTTTTCAGGACTTCTGTAGAGTATTTTTTTTTAACCTAGTATGAATTTTATTTTACCTACTCAACTTCGTTCAGCTTAACTAAAGATATAATGGTTAATAATAGTCTCTGTGTATTCTTTATTATGAATGTCACCTTGACTGTTTAACAGTCAAGGTCAAAAAGAACTGTTGGAAAAAGTTGCTATTTCTCACACCTTAAAATGTAGTTAATAGCACAATTTAAATTTGCATTACCATGTGGTTAGTTGGCAAAAATAATTTCATTCAGTCAAATCTCTGTTAGCATGGCCACTCCCAAACTGCCCTTTATAGTAGGTAACTTTAAGATTTCTATAGTTTAACTTCTGGCAAGACTTTTAAGAATCACAATACCCAAGAATTTTTCTACTATCAGTAAACCTTAGTCTATCCAAATTTACTTGGAACTGAATAGATATAAGCAGCAGGTGATACTTGTACAAAGAATTTCAGTGTCTTATTATTAAATTAGTCATGAGTGAGTAAAAGTTAATATAACATTATGTAAACAATTAAATAGCTTTTACTTTCTAGACCAGGGATTCCAAACCCCCAACTGGTAGTGATGCACAGCAGGAGGTGAGCAGCAAGTGAGCAAGTGAAGCTTCATCCCTGCTGCCAGAAAAGTTGGGGACTGCTGTTCTAGACAACCCTGAAGGAAAGCAAGTTGAGGCACTTTTAAAAGAGATCAAGAAGTAATGTCATGGAAAATAGAAATAGGGAGAGCTAAGAATCAGTTTCATTGAAACAGCCATTAAATAGGCAAAAACTTCAACTCTTTTGAACTCTGGAATCTAATACAAACAGAGACCCCAGGGTACCACTTAGTTTAGAATGGAGAGACTGCTAAAGCCCTCTAAGGATTGTGGCATTTGACTATCTGCCTACTATCCCACGTCGTCCACCTTGGCAATAGTTGTGGAGACAGCAGCGCCACATTACTGGTGTAGCTTACTGGCTTTAACAACATGAATGAAATATGAACATAACTTGAGGTTAATTTAAAAAAGAACAAGACAACAAAATTTGCTAGTGTAGTAAAAGGAAAGAGCAATAAATATTTGTAAATACATTATAAGATGAGAAAGATCTTCAATTAATAACATGTTCACACCTTAAGAAAAAAGGAAAAAGCAAACTACTAGCTACTAGAGGAAGGAAATAAATATTAGGGTATAGATACATAAAGCAGATAATATAAAAATAAAAGCATCTATGAAATCAATGGTTCCTTCTTGGAAAAACATCGAAGTTGTCAAACCTTTAACTGAACTTCCCTGAAATGAAAGAAGATGTAAATAAGTAAAATTAGAAATGAACGTGGGGACATTACTACTCCACAATAAAAATGGCTTTAAGAAAATACTATCGAGCCAGGTGTGGTGGCTCACACCTGTAATCCTAGCACTTTGGAATGCTGAGGCTAGTGGATCACTTGAGTTCAGGAGTTCAAGACCAGCCTGGGTAAAATGGCAAATCCCTGTCTCTACAAAAAATAAAAAATTAGCCATTGGTGATGGATGCCTGTAGTCCCTGGGTGGCTGAGGCAGGATCCCCTGAGCCCAGGATTTGGAGGCTACAGTGAATTGTGATCCTGATAGTGCACTTCAGCGGGGGGCAAGAGGGAGATACTGTCTCAAAACAGAAAATACTTTGAACAATCGTATGCCAACAAATTAGATAACTTACATGAAATGTATACATTCTTTTTTTATATATTTTAAGTTGTAGGGTACATGTGCAGAATGTGCAGGTTTGTTACGTAGGTATACACGTGGCATAGTGGTTTCTTGCACCCATCAACCTACATCAACATTAGGTATTTCTCATAATACTATCCCTCCCCTAGCCCCCCATACCCCGACAGGCTCTGGAGTGTGATGTTCCTCTCCCTGTCCATGTGTTCTCATTTTTCAACTCCCACTTATGAGTGAGAACCCCTTCCCTTTCCTCTTCCTTTTTCCCTTCCCCTTCCCTTCCCTCCCTTTTTATCTGAGGTGGGAGTCTCACTGTGTCACTAGGCATTCAGCGGCACGATCTCAGCTCACTGCAGACTCTGCTGAAGTTCAAACAATTACTCTTGTCTCAGCCTCCCTAGTGGCTGGGACTAGAGGGTCCGCATCACGATGCACAGCTAATTTCTGTATTTTTAGTAGAGACAGGGCTTCACCATGTTGATTAGGATGGTCTCGATCTCTTGACCACAGGTGATGCACCTGCCTCAGCCTCCCCAAGTGCTGGAATTACAGGCATGAGCCACTGTGCCTGGCCTTGGTTTTCTGTTGTTGTGCTGGTTTGCTGAGGATAATGGTTTCCAGCTTCATCCATGTCCCTACAAAGGACATGAACTCATTCTTTTTCATGGCTGCATAGTATTCCAGGTTATATATGTGCCACATTTTCTTTATCCAGTCTATCACTGATGGGCATTTGGGTTGGTTCCAAGGCTTTGCTATTGTAAATAGGGCTGCAGTAAATGTAAGTGTGCATGTGTCTTTATAGCAGAATGATTTATGATCCTTTGGATACCACCCAGTAATAGGGATTGCTGGGTCAAATGGTATTTCTGCATCTAGATCCTTGAGAAATTGCCACACTGTCTTCCACAATGGTTGAACTAATTTACACTCGCACCAACGGCATAAAAGTATTTCTATTTTTCCGCAGCCTTGCCAGCATCTGCTGTTTCCTGACTTTTTAATATTTACCATTCTAAACGTGAGATGGTATCTCATTGTGTTTTTGATTTTCCTTTCTTTAATCACCAGTGATGATGAACTTTTTTTTCATGTTTTTTGGCTGAATAAATGTCTTCTTTTGAGAAATGTCTGTTTATATCATTTGCCTACTTTTTGATGGGGTTGTTTGGGTATTCTTTACCTGTAAATTTGTTTAAGTTTCTTGTAGGTTCTAGATATTAGACTTTTGTCAGATGGGTAGCTTGCAAAAATTTTCTCCCATTCTGTACATTGCTTGTTCACTCTTATGATAGTTTCTTTCACTGTGCAGAAGTTCTGTAGTTGAATTAGATTCCATTTGACAATTTTGGCTTTTGTTGCCATTGCTTTTGGTGTTTTAGACATGAAGTCTTTGCCCATACCTATGTCCAAATTTTCTTTATCCAGTCTATAATTGATGGGCACTTGGGTTGGTTCCAAGTATTTGCTATTGTGAACAGTGCCACAATAAA